TCCCATTTCTGATTTTCGGGATCCGCGTCGGACCTTATTTTTTTACGGCGGATCCAAGTTCTAACCCGTTTTCAATTTACGGGGGACGGGGGTGGCCCTCTGCGACTTCAAAAGGAAAATCTTTCGTCCTGCGTAAGTATGGGGCTACCTGGGCGCGGGGCGGCGCCGCATGAGGCGGCAGCGCCTCGGAGCAAGTTAGCACTCACATTCGTGAATCATCCATTATTGCGCTTTGTGGACCCGCCTCTCCCACTGCTTTCTCCATTTTCTATGACGCTTCTGCTGCGGCTCACGCTGTTATGGCACGCGCGAAATCTATCCTTAACCACTGAAGTCCCACTCCTTCCGAATGTGGTTGCAATGTTCGCTCTTTCTTGTGATCCCTCTTCACCTTTTGTTATACGACGCGCAAAGTGCATCGTAACGTCTTACGTAAGCCCAGGACAGTATACTTTTGCACCAGATTACGTCGCCAACATCCGACAGAGGGGGTCCAAATGATACGCCCCGAGACTTGCTCGCATGAGATCCGCATGTGGTGTTGCGCAAGAGTATGGTCCGAAAGCGTTGGTAATTGCACTCGCGTCCTCTGTACCATCGCAAACACGCACAATACAACTGTGACTGCGTTGCGGCCACACGCGCATCTAAATGTGTACATATATAGGTACGTATATACATGTTAACCAACGTGGACCCCAAACAATGTGGTTCTAGCAATATGTGCTGTGCAATCTCAGTGGTGCAGTATATGTGGATAGGTTGTGCAATTTTTATGTTGTGTGCAAGCTATGTGGCGCAACCGATGTTGTGGAATTAAAATGTTGCGCAGTCTACGTGGTGCAACCTACGTGGTGCAATTTACCCTGCGGAACTCGAAGTTGTCAACTCCACTGCTCGCTCAATCATCCCACCCAACCACCCGCAACTTGATTTGCAACAGAAGCATGAAGTCACGATTGCGATAACTGCTTGGCGCTGGCTGGCGCATCGCTGTGGCCGCGCTAGCGCGCGCAGGTTGGCGAGCAGAGCGGCCAGCCAGTATGGCGCGACCAGTGCAGGCGCGGTGGCGCCGACCGCTGGGCACTTACCAGCGCGTCTCGCAGTCCGCGCTGACGCGCGGGCACTTCAGTGCGAGCTGGTGACTCGGCCGGGCGCGGTATAGTGGCGGCGTCGACAATAACAGAAACGATAATGATAGTAGCGGTCCTGGTGACGACGATGACAACGATGACGGCGAGGCAACTGACGGCGCCGATGATGATCACGCCGACGATGATCATGGTGTCCACGTGTTGGTGATGAAGGTTTCGCAAGTATTTCGGCATGCGCACGCGGCCGACTGGCGCGAGTGGCCCGCATGGTGTTATTTGACAGGATCGTACCCCCCCCGCACGCGCGCAAGGGCGTTCCCATGATTTCGACATGCGCGCGACCGGTCCTTTTGGCCGTATGTCATGCAACTGTTGAAACAACACTGACTTTCTTCACAATTCGCAAGAACGCGCGCGCGTTCGAACAACCATGATGAAAAGCCATGTGCTTTCACATGTGCGCGGGACACCCGACTTTGAAATCCCTACGAAGCCTGAACTGTTTGAAGGAAGTCGGCATGCGCGCGCGACGACGCGCGCGTAACGCCATACGGAACCTGCAGCTGGGGCCTTCGGTGGAACTCCCGATGGGGCCACGAAACGTGTGAGGGGCGTGCCGAATCGGGTGCGGGTACGCCATGCGGACCCTGCCGCAGGGGCATGCGGTGCAGCTCCCGATGGGGCCTCGCGCGCGGGTACGCCATGCGGACCCTGCCGCTGGGGCCTTCAGTGGAACCCCCTATGGGGCCACGAAAGGGGTGAGGGGTGTACCGAATCGGATGCGGGCACGCCCTGCGGACCCTGCCGCTGGGGCCTTCGGAGGAGCTCCCTATGGGGCCACGAAACGTGTGAAGGGTGTGCCGGATCAGGTGCGGGTACACATGATTCTGATGAGATGAGGGCATATGCAGAGCAGGAGCAAGTGATTGTAGGAGGGAGGAGGGGGAAGAGGAAGGAGAGAACGCGGGGGGCTGTCTCTTCAAAACGAGGGCCCAACACCACAGGATGGTTGGGACAAAATCGATGTGCTGCAACCTATGTGGTGAAATCTGTGTGGCAAAATCTATGTTGTGCAATTGATTTTGACACATGACTTGACACATCCCATGCTCTTGCAAACATCCCACCCACCCACCCGCAACTTGGTTTGCAAAACCTCTTAAGACCGACTACGACGACACCGACGACAACGACTACGACGACGCCGACGACGTCTCCGACGACTTCGACGACGACGACAACGACGACGACGACGACGACGACGACAACGACGACGACACCGACGACGACGCCGACGCCGACGACGACGACGATGACGACGCCGACAACGACGACAACGACGACACCGACGACGGCGACAACGACGACGTCAACGACGCCGACGCCGACGCCGACGCCGACGACGACGACGACGACGACGACGACGACGGCGGCAACGACGACGACGCCGACGTCGACGACGACGAAGACGACGACGACGCCGACGCCGACGACGACGACGATGACGACGACGATGTCGCCAACGAAGACGACGACGAGGGAGGAGGGAGGACGACGACGGCGACAACGACGACAACGACGACAACGACGAGGGAGGAGGGAGGACAGCGACAACGAGCGAAGGAGGAAGGACGGCGACGCCGACGACGACAACGACGAGGGAGGAGGGAAGACGACGACGACAACGCCGACGCCGACGACGACGACGACGGCGATGAAATAGGAGGGACGACGACGAGACGCCGACGACGGACGACGACGACGACGAGGGAGGAGGAGGAAAGACGACCACGGCGACAACGACGACGGAAACGACCACGACGCCAAAGAGGACGACGACGACGAACACGAGGAAAGACAGAGGACGACGTAGGCGACGACGACGACGACGACGCGGGAGGAGGGAGGACGGCGACGACGGCGACGACGACGACGACGCAAGAGAGCACGCGCACGCTTTTGTTGAAAACCCGTGTTGCGAAACATAGTTTTTTTGTAGGTTTCTTGGACACACGATGTTGAAATCCTTCCGAAGCCGATGAGTTTTGAAGGATTTCGGCATGCGCGCGCGACGACGCGCGCGTGTGCACTTCGTCCCATTTTTTGCAAGAAGGATTCTCGCGAGACACACGCGCAAGGGCGTTGGACATTTTTCGACATGCGCGCGCGCGAAGCCCGTTTGGTAGCATGTTGTGAAAATCTGGAAACAAACTATGGTTTTCTTAAGATTTCGCAAGAGCTCGCGCGTAAGTTTTCTTAGCGAATCAGTGTTGCGAAACCCTGTGTATTTGTGTATGTTTTTTGGAAACTCGATTGCGAAATCCTTCCGACACCGAAGGTTTTTGAAAGATTTCGGCATGCGCGCGCGACGACGCGCGCGTGTGCACTTCGTCGAATGTTTTGCAAGGGATTCGCGAAAAAGTCGTATGTTAGAACACGAAATATCTCCGCGTATCGCTTTTTACAAGGGAAGGAACCTCAGGGGGGTCGATACCGGCCCCCCGGGGATAGTGTAAATTCATTTTTAGGATGGACATGTGGTCATAATCATCCATGATTTACATACCCGAAAGGGGTACGGATAACGCTGGGGGGGGGGTAGAGACTATTCTCTTTTGAAAAAAGAGAATCTAAGCGAAAGGGCGGCGACGAAGCGGCGGTGGGGCGGCGACGGCGCCGACATAGCTGCTGAACCGCCACACAGGCCCAGACGACGGGTGTTGACGAGGTGGCGACAAGGTGTCGACGGCGACGACATAGCCGCCAGAACTGCCACGTATGCTCAGTTCCTCAGAACACAAATAAGGAACCCTGAATATGCAAGCGCTGTTTGGGGGACTGTATCTCTACACGCACATATATATAGATGGATATATATATATATATATATATATATATATATATCATGTATACGTATACACATGTATACATGTATGTACAGCTTACACATGGGATACCTATCACGTCGCCATTGTTTGGGCCAACTTTAAAGATTTGAAGTTACCCGCGTCGCATGTATCTGTGGTCGTCATGTTCACGAATTGACACGCTTTGCAAACAACACTTCTTTCACATCTCGCAGTCACTACAACGTTCCCTGCTTCTTGCAGCATGGCGTTCGTCGTTTCGTTTCGTCCCTCTCCTCCCACCCTGTCCGTTCTCCGCTTGCCCTATCAAAACCCTGCCGATCGATGCGAGCCGCAAGACAAGTCCCCGAGAGACACGGCCCAAGACAAGGTCCCTAGACGGCCCAGGCGCTCCCACATGGCCAAAGAGGGGCTCGAAGATGCCCCCTCAGAGGGCCTCCAAGACGGACCTGATACGGCCCATGGGGCCGCCATGACGGCCCTGAAGGGTCCCAAGAAGGACCCAAGACAGCCCAGAGACATCGTCACGACAGATTCCGAAAGCGCCAGACGGCCCAAGAGTCTCCCAAAACGGCCAAGGGAATCCCCAAGAGGCCCCGAGGCGCTCCCAAAACACTCTAAAGAGGCGCCAAAAGGGCCCCAGGAGAAGCTCAACAGGCCCCCAAGAGGCCCTAGATGTCACACGTGACGGAATCCCAGGGTGCTGGGCTGGCTCGGAGGCGAGATTGGCCGCAGGCGACTGATCATGAAAACGTATGGAATCAGCACACGTATCAGATACCGTCGGAAAGTGTAGAGGGATAGTGTCATAGAAGAGGGTTCCATGATTGCGTGGTTTTATTCTCGCCGTCCTGGACACCAAAACGTTGTATAACTCATTCAGATCATATGTTTTTTGGCGAGTCGCACAACTCATATGAGTTCACTTAGCTCTCGCAATTAATTGTCGGACACATTGTGCTTGCGTATTTGTACATATGTATGCATCATTCAATCATATTGAGAAATAGGGTCTGAATCAAAATGCATATCGCGGGATGCTGTTCTCATCTCGCTCTGCTCGACATGTCGTCCGGGCTACCAGCTGGCAATCGCAATCGTCACCTGTACTAGAGCTGCGGTGACTGCAGAAATCGCCGAGCGGCCGAGGGCGTATAAGATTCAAGAACATTTGTCGTGCATCGCATTCGCAAGAACATTTGTCCTGCTCCTCCTCCACGAGGCGGAGGAAAGGCAGGAGGAGCAATTTGAAACATTGAGCCCTGCCGATTAATCATGTAAGTAACGAAATCATGCACGCTGAACATGGCAAACTATTTCAATTCAAACACGGACAACTGTATACACATGCACATGCATATGGTACGTGCGCGCCCCGACTCACACAAATCTGGCACGTGAAGGTAAACAACAACGTTGGACTTATGCTCGAAAAATGAGGCAACCGACGCGGGACGCGTGGCATCATGTAGTCGCCCATGTATACGTAATAGAATGCGCCACGTAACCGTGCTGAACAAGTTTACCCACACACCAGTGCGTCGGCGAATGCTTCTAGCAATTGCGTAAACCATACATGCCTAGACACATTCGGAGACACACTGCCTTGGAATGCATACGTCCGAAATCATTGAGCACAAATGCTGTCAACACGTCAAACCGACATGTTAGAAAACATCCGATGGGCCACTGAAGTAGCAATGAGCGCGGCGCGACCCCAAGCTGGACTCTTCTTTCATTCACAGCACTTCAAACAAGTTCTGAGCAATGCAAAACTATGCGCTGCAAAACAACGCTTGGCATTGATTGGATTACTTGGCTTCGCTGGGCGTTGATTAGCGCTGTTTGGAATATTTCCTTAACGTGGCTCGGCATTGCTTGGTATTGGTTTGCGTTGCTTGGCATTTATTGGCATTGTTTGGCATTGGCTTCGCATTGCTTAGCGTTGCTGTGTATCGTTTGGCATTGGTTTCGCATTGTTTGGCATTGCTTGGAGTCGTTGCTTGGCATTGGCTTTGCATTGCTTGACGTTGCTTAGAATCGTTGTCTGGCACTGCTTGGCGTCGCCTTGGCATTGATTGGCGGTGCTTGGGCTCATTTTGCTTTGTTTTGCATTTCTTGGCATTCCTTCGCGTTGCTTGGCACTGGTTTGCATGTCTTGGCATTTCGTGGCATCTCTTGGCATTCTTTATTGCTCGGCACGGCTTGGCATTGCAACGGCTGGCGAACCCAAAGAAGAAGGCCGGGGAGCCCGCGGAACAACATTAGGAACCCGAGCAAAGAACCCATGGAACACCACCAAGGAACCTTGGCAACGCCTTGAGGAAGCCAAGACCAGGGAACCGAACAATGCCAAGTTCAGCCACATCGCGCCCACCGCCCACCTATTCTTTTCCATACCACATAAGACCCCCTTGGGCAACGTCTAACTGGGCAATTAAGTTTTTGCTCGCAATGAACTGTCAACTCCACTGCTCGCGCAACCATCCCACCCCATCGCCCGCAACTTGGTTTGCAAAACCCATGCGGCGGCGACTGCGATGAATGATTCGCGTTCGTTGGTGCATCTCTGCGGCCGCGACAGCCCGCGCATGCTCGCGCGCGAAGCGGCCATTAGTTTGGGGCGACCGACGCGGCCGCGGTGGCGCTGACCGCTGGGCACTTTCCAGCGGCACTGCAGTGCGAGTCGACGACTTGGGCGGGCGCGGTATCATGGCAACGTCGGCAACGGTAGACATGCTGATGGTAATAGCGATGCTGGTGACGATGATGACAACGACGAAGGCAAGGCCAGTTATGGCACCGATGCCGATCACGCCGACGACGATGACGGCGTCCTCGAGTCGGTGATGAAGGTTTTGGAGAGAGTTCGACATGCGCGCGCGGCCGGCTCGCGAGTGGCCGCATGGTGGTATTTGACACGGATCGTGCCCCCCAGCACGCGCGCAAGTGCGTTCGAATGATTTCGGCATGCGGCGCGAGAGACCCATTTGACCGAATGTAAGAAGACTGCTGACAAACCTACGGATTTTGAAAACAGATGTTGCAAAGCCGTGTGTTTGTTGTTATATATTCGTCGGGGCACTTGATCTTGAAATGACTACGAAGCCTCAGGTTCTTGAAGGATTTCGGCATGCGTGCGCGAAGACGCGCGCGTGCACTTCGTCCCGTTTTCGCTGCAAGGAATTATTGCGACAGCACGCGCGCAAAGGGCGTTTGAGCGATTTCGACATGCGCGCGCGAAAAGCATTTTTGGTAGACTTGATGAACATGTTCAAAATATAAAAAAGCATGGTTTTCTTAAGAATCTGCAAGAGCGCGAGCGCAGGCTGTATTGATCATTCTTATTACGAAGCCATGTGCTTTTATATGTTTTCGGGACACTCGACTTTGAACCCCTGCGAAGCTCAAGGTTTCTGAAGGATTTCGGTATGCGCGTGCATGGACGCGCGCGCGTGCATGTCGTCCCGATGTTTGCGAGGGATGCTTGAAAACGGATGATTATTGATAAACGAGTGCGCGCGCATATAATTGTTTTGCAGAGCGTGAGGTGGGGATACCAGCCTGGCTGGGATGGTGTGAACTCAGCATTAGGATGCACCATGGAACATAATCAAATGTAACTTGCAATACGCGAAAGGGTCCGAAGTCTGGGGGGGAGGGAGGGGGTAGAGTCTACATTTTTGAAAGAGAGGAGAAAGAAGCCTAATAACCACATGCAACGTCTGAGAGCGTGCTGCCACGAAATGATGCAATGATGTTGGCAGTTATTGGGTTTGGAACTGTTGGTGCGATCTGCGTAATGGGTGTATCCGATTGCCAGAATTTGAGCACGTCCCTGTCGAAACATCACGCGAACGGCGGCATCAATCATCGGCTCTGGGCTCTACTCCCTGTGGGGGGTGCGTACATACACGTCCAACTATATCAGAGGGAATCGGGCTCTACGGATGTCTGAAGCGACATCACACCTCAGACTCGAGCTCTTGCAGCGATAATGCTGCTTGCTCGTTGCCTTGAGCAGCGGATTTCGAAAGCCACTTTCGAGCCTCTCTCGGACTCTGCACCACACAAACACCGAGCTTGTAGCACAGGCCCAACCTACACTGCGCAGTCTGCTCTCCAGCCTGGGCAAGGTCCTGCCACAAGGGAACTGCTCGGTTAATCTCATCACGCTGCATGAAGATGGCGGCCAGATTGTGTTTTGCCTTAAGGTCGCCCTGTGCGCCTGCACATTGCAGCCAGTCCGCCACCGTACCCCCTGGCATGTAGAGTCATGGCAGAGTGCCACGTGGCCGATTCCTGAAACCCTGAACCCAAAAATGTTGTCATCTCCTGGGAGGTCGACCTTTGCTTCCGCCGGCGGAGCCGCCGCCGTTTTGCTTCCGCCGCCCTCCACCGACCTTCCGCCGCGGAAAAGAGGGCAACGCCTCCGATCCTCAAATACAAGCTTCTTGTTGGAATGCCTTGCGTCCTGTCTGGCAGGCTTGCCGTGCTGGTGAGGGCGCCGTCCCCGTTCGAAGCATCCAGCTGCATACGTCGCCCTCCTCTCCCGAGGGGCTCCTGGGCGCCCCGACGGTTCTCTCTGGGGCTCCCCGAGGAGCCCAAGATGCCCCACGTGGCTTCCAAGACGGGCCAGACAGGCCACCAGGGCCGCCGAGATGGACCAAGCTGCCTCCAAGATGGCTTCAAGACGGCCAAAGAGACTTCCACGACGGCGCAAGAGGGCTCAAAGAGACCCCCAGGTGTGGCCCGCAGAGGCCACATTCACTGATGGTCATTAAGTGTTTGACTGTTTCTCGTGCTATCACTCTCGGGACGGCCCAAGATGCCCCCCAAAAAGGCGCCCACGGAAGGCTCAATACGGCATATGAAACTGCCAAGGCGACCCCCAAATGGCCCTTCGAGGCCTCCCACAGGCTCCCAAAGAAGTCCCGATGAGGCCATCAAGAGGCCAATCTGCGTTGCCTCATCGTGCCGTAGGAGGGCGTGCACCACGCGGAAACGCGTGTCACATGTTACGGCTCTCGCGAGCCTGGGGGCATAAGGTGTCACACGTTACGGCCTACCGTGCGCACCTCGATCAGTCGCCATCCAGGGTGCTGGGCTGGCACGGTGGCGGGACTTGCCGCAGGCAGCTGGATATTCACCCATCTCCATGTCCCTGGCCACTCCACTGGTGCCAGCACAGAAGAGAACGCCGAGCGCATACTGTGCCTTCGGGAAGCCTGCTTCGGCACTAGCCTGGTACCATCTCACCGCCTCCATCATGTCAAGCTCGACACCACGCCCCAGCCGGCAACTCTCGCCCATCACAAACTCTGCCTCAAGATCGTGCTGTTCCGCTGCACGGCGCATCCAGGCAACAGCGCGAGTCATATTCATCTCCACCCCTAACCCGCCTGCAAACGCCTCAGCGTAGTTCTTCTGTGCCAAAGCAAATCCAGCCTCGGCCGCCTTCTCAAACCACATCGCAGATCTGCCCAACGCCCCAGAAATCAGATCAGGGTTGCTCATATGAGCCGAGCGGTACATGATTGCAACATTGTTTTGAGCAAAATGATGACCCAATGTCGCGCTGCGCTCGTAGAGCTCAATGGCCCGCAGCGGGTCCTGCTGCTTGCCGTAGGTGCCGTGCTCATAGTGCGTCGCCAAGTTGAAGAGCGCGTCTGCATCTCCCTGCTCTGCGAGCTTCTCATGCCACGGGACAGTCCCGTCTGCCACAGACCGGGAGGTGTCTTTTATCCAGAAGACGACGCTGTATCTCTCTCCCCCCAAAACTCGGACGCCGTGCTGCAGATCAAACGAATGGACAACGAGATCGCCAGGGTCGATCTGCAGGGAGGCAGCCGATGCCACATCTGGGCCGGGCTGCACGAAAAGGCCTCCCTCGTAGTCGGCAGGGTCCGAGACGCCCAGCACCGCAGTTGCGAACGCATGGCCATCGAAATGGACACGGTGCGTGCGCCGCTCACCAGGAACATACCGACGAACCAGGATATCCGCGAGCGCGCAGGTGTCACACGCATACCGTTCTCGCACATAAGGCATTAGACGGTCTTCCACAAAGCAATGAAGAATCTCACGCAATCCCTCATCCTGCCACCGACCATTCTGGAAGGGATAGTACTCAAAAGAAGGCCGCGAATCAACCGAGTCTGCATCAGTCGTATATCTCTCGCTGCGCTTCACGTGACGCAAGACCTCTCCTACCTCTGGCGTGTCGAGCACCCTTGCCAAGCGATAGACTCGACAAATTCCCGCCTTACCCACCTTGCGGAAAGAGCCCGACTGCTCCACACCGCTCCATGTGCCCACCTCCACCTGGACCTCCTCAGCGAAGTTGAACGCAGGATAGCGCTCCGCTGGCTCCACACCGCACCTCCGTGCCGTCACTGTCCCCCTGCGCCCATGCAGCAACGCCAGGGCGTCGCCTTCCTGCACTCTGAGCTGCCACAGGATGGCGGCGGCGGCGGCCCCACACACCACGGACCGCCGATGCTGCCTGCGGCGCCGCTTGTCGAGGCATCCAGTGGTGCGCATGTCCTGGCGAGGGGGGGGGCACCCTCTCTGAGCCGAGAGGCTGGAAACACACAAGTCCATGGTGACTACAGATTAAAAAGTGGAGACCGTGGGATCGAGAAAGACACGGTTGGCCTCCCATTAGGCCGCGGGGCCCCGGGACAATGTTGGAGATTGGGCCGGTTAGGGAATTTCAGATGCACCTCTCACCCCTTTCAATATTATACCCGCCAAATGGGGCTAGCGTCTGAAAGTGCGATTCCGCCCGGGACTTCCTCAAAACAACTTTCAGATCGCCTTCCAGTGCGATCTGAAAATTTGCCATGGCATCTGACAATGGCGACTTCGCGTGGGATTTCCTCAGAAAAGTCGGATCGACCTTCATGCCGCTTGAGAGTGGCGATATCGCCTGAGAATTCCTCACAGTGTATTTTCTGGCCGCTTTCACGCCGCCAGGGAGTGGCAATTTCGTTTGGGCTGTCCTAACAACCACGCGGCTCGTCCACCCCTGCGGCGCCTTTCCTCCGTTCGGGTCACGAGCCTGTCTGGGAGTCATCTTGGGATCGATCGAAGGTCGAAGCTCGAGGTTTTATCGATTGGCGGAGACCCAGTGGTTGTTCCCCCGCATAGTGCCGATCACCACTTTTTAATCCAGGGGGTGGTAGAACCCCTGATCCTCATAGTGTTTCTGGGCTGATGCGCCTCTCGAGCGTGATGCTCAACATAATTGGATGCGCCTAGATGTTCAACGCGATGCTCAGAATTCTAGTTCAAGTCGAACACGGCGCTCATACTCCCTGTGTTTGTATATTGAGCGTTTGGCACAAAGCTCGGGATCTCCATGAGTTCATAAATTTCAGTTCTCAACTCAGATACCCACGCACACAATCAGGAAGAGGTTCGCAATTTTATTTGGACGGCCCATACATCTACGAAACAACATGTCCTGGCGCGATTTCTAATACGAAACATTGTCTGTGGAACACCAGAAGTGCATCAATACTGTGCATAACATAACCTCGCATATCATTAGCACAACCTAAAATACCATATCATGACATTGCAAACCACAACATATCACGAACATCGCAAACCATTCGCAGACCGTAGCATGGGCATACAATCAACATGCCGTAGCATTAACATCGCACAAACTTTGACCACTTTTCTTAGCAACGCATGCAATCGCAGAGCAACCTGTTAGCATAGCAATGGGGTAGCATATCATGAGCATACATACCTAAGAACCGAGACATCAAGTGAACAAGAATCGTGGCCCTGGCCTGGCTTACTGGGGCACGCCTATTGGGTGACCAAGAACAGGGGCGCGGTCCAAGGGTGGTAATTACCGGCCATTTTCCAAATGAAATGAATCTCTAAGCAAGGCCTAATTGCGGAGTGCGATCGCTACTCATGAGTTCCCATCACGATATTGAAGCACTCTGGCTACAACGCACTGCGACATGTAGGTGCATGAGAGAATGCAAGCCTATGAGAAAATTAGTGAACACTCTTTCAATGCTCGGCTCTTTTCCCATGGTCAATGTTTGCGGCGGGCCTGATGATTTGCGCTTCGACCGCGGTCTTCCCGGCGAGCGCCAACTTTGAGTTTTGGGGAGAAGGGGAGTATCCATTAATCGTTTCCCTAAATAATATGTATACCTGTTGCTGTCTGCAGAACTTCATGCACGACCGCATGGAATACGAATATCGAACTGGAAATAAGTTAGACATGTATTGGTAAGTGTTGTAAGTCGGTAGTCGAATGGTACCAGAATGCGTCCAAAGGTCGGCATCATCATATGAAACGTGTAACACGTATTGTATATTGATGTCCACCTAACGGACGAGTCTTGCACGGAATTGTTTTGTGCTCTGGCTGTACTGTGCACGGTATTTCTGGCGGGCACGTGGTGCCAGCGAACGCTTGCAGCGGAACGCCTGCAGGCCAGCTCGCCCCGTCCTCCCTCCTCCTCCTCCTCCTCCTCCTTTTCCTCTTGCGTTGCATGGTTCCAGCTCTGCGTGTTTTCGTTTTTTCTTCGGGGGCGCAGCAGGGGTTGGGCCCCCCGCTGCGCTGGTCCGCCCCGCACGCAGGTCGGCAGCTGAGCTGCAGGGACAGCGGCGCCCGCCCTCCGCCGAGCTTCCACAGTGGAGCTCGCCTGTCGCTGGGCCGCTTCTGGCTTTGCATAACCTGCTGGCCCTGGGCCGGCATGGTTGCGTGCCCTGCTGGCCCTGGGCCGGGTGGCGGGCATGAGGTTGCACTCAGGTTTCAATCGAGTTTACTATCAAGATCTCACCATGCGCGTTGTTCCAATTTGCTGTGTTGTGCGCTGGCTGCTCTTGGCACTGGCTCCTCTGCTTCGGCATCGAGGTTTTCGGCAAGCTTGTAGTTGTTCTTACCTCCTCCTCCCCTCCTCCTCCTCCTCCTCCTCCTTCTCCTCCTCCTCCTCCTATTCTGCACTCCACCACTCGCGTTGGACACCTGTGCAAGTCCCGCAGTTTTAATCGGAAAGGGGTACGTACTCGCGAGTTCCCTTCCAGTGGCGTGGTATAGCCGTACGTACTCGGGTCGATGGGCCGCCGTGTGGATGTAGAAATCTGCAGTCCAGCTAATTTGTTCCGGCGTGGCGCATTCCATCACGCGCAATCGGGATCTTGCCGCAGAGTGCGCGCTCATGCCAGGACCTCAGCATTGCACAAAGTAGCGACTTGAGGGACGTTGAGCATCGGCTGCCCGCGTCCCCCTCCTTTTCCCCTTCCCCCTCCCTTCTCCAAAAATTGCGTCGGAAAAAAGTATTGCACGGATTGTATGCAAATCGAACAGACATGTACGCTGTATCAAAGATGTTCGCTCAATCGATGTCGATGGTACTGGCGGTCATGCAACAACAAATACCGAATGTGATATATGACTGGTTTTGACTGGACCAGAATGAAAACCCAACCGGTCAACCACCCAGCTAGTGAGCCATAGTGGCAACAGAGCGCTGTGAATAAAGTGTGGCCTTTGGGATGCCTGTCTCTGGTCATGAACCCTGTCAACCCTTCCACGTCACTGTTGACATCGCTCGAGGCGGACAAAAGCACTTCTGCCATTGGTGGGGCTTGGGGGACGGAAGAACATTGACGTCGCCACATGTATTCTTTTGCATGACATGCGTGTACGGTATTCTCGTACGCACTTATTTCCGAACTCACAGAACACAATGAATCAGGAAACAGGGGGGGTCGCGCTGGCTGCGAGGCCAGAGCGCCTTTGCCTGCCCTGGGATCGCAGGGGCGGCTGCGACCTAAGGGGGTCGTGCGCGAGTTGCGCTCGGGAGCGGCGCGCGCGGCCGCGCGGTGTTCCGGACTCCGTCGCTGTGGTATGGAATGACATCGGAGCAAAAATGATTAGCGAATGCTGGAGGATTCGGTGAGAGGATCATACGCCGACAGTGGCACAATGCCGTATGGCTTTTCAACTATGACAGTGGATACTGGAACTTGTCAGAAGTGTAGGCATTACTACAGCTACCTCTCCGATGGCAGGATTTCCATGCCACTGGATGCGCGCGCGGACGGGGCGGCAAGCGCGCTTACAAATTCATCGAAAGACATGGCAGGTCGCTTCGATGCTACTGGGTCACATTGAAGCTGGTCGTTCCCTTCCTCAGGGCCCGTGCAGAGCGATCTGTAGCCCACCTCTGCCCTGACCCCACCACAACGTCCGCCCGAAGTTTCGCGTAGAGACGTGGGGATTTCTGTGGGCAGGCAGCCCGCTGCCAGCTGCATGCGCCCTCGGTGGCATCGTCAGGATGGCGCCCCTTCTCCTGTGCTAGGTGGGGCCCGTGGCAGTTTTTACCCCGTTATCAAAAAAAGCCAGGTATCGATCATGTGGCGGGCGCATGGAAATCGACGAGAACGGCGAATGCTGGCTGGCTGCGCGGCTGAATGCAGAAGATCCTGTACGCCATCGTGGAGGAAGCTCAACACGCTGCGAATTCGTTGGCGCAGTTTCAAAACGTCCCACTATTTGAGCGCACCACTCCCACTCGCACCACGGCGCAATCAATTGCAGCCGTCGAGCGCGCGAGGAACTGGCTGTCGTGAGTTGTGCAAGAGGCGCCCGCGTGCGTCCTCGACAGGCGGCGTCGCGCGCGGGAGGGAAGCGCAGGCGCGCGCGCCCGCACCGCGAGCCCACGTTCGAACACATCGACACCGCATGGGAGCTCAGCTGCACACGGCCACTAGCAAACGTGAGAGAAGAACGGCACCGCGCCAGCAGCGCGCACGCGCGATCAGACCGGCGCACTCACGGGAGCTCACCAGCACCGCACCAGCAGCACACCTACGAGAGCTCAGCAGCACCGTGCCAGCAAGCACGCACGAGAAGAGCAACACCGCGGCGGCACACGCACCAGCAGCGTGCGCACGAGCAGAGCGGGGGAGACTGACATGCCTCTGGCGCTTCTGCTCCCCGTTGGGGCGCGCGCAGAACTTTTCGCCTCGGGGCCCACTCAGCAACGCAGTGCCCCGCGCCACCCTTCCGATGTGCGACATTGTTGATCAAGTCGGCGCTGGCCTCTGGTCCGGGGACGGCGTGGGCGCCCCCCCGCAGGAAGCGGCGGCCTCTGTCGACCCCCCCTCTTGACGCCAACTCGCCATTCCTGGGAGAAGAAAGCGAAGGCGGCGGAGGACAAAAGCGTCTGACGTTCTTCAGCTGCTCGGACCCTCTACCACCCTACCACCCTATTATTGCTCGGTGATGTCGTTCCTGTTAGCCTCTACGTGAGCCTCTCGCGTTGTTGGTTGCTCCTTCCTACTCCCACGGACCTCCGAGGAGTGACTGGCTCTAGATGTCTTGAATGTGGGCTCTTGTGTCCGGGGTTCCCGTGCACGGACACGTCAGCCTAGACAAGAAAACAAGTAACATGCTTCATTTCATATGTAGAGCCTCTTGAGTTTGAGCCTGAATGGTTCAGGGCGAACTCCACGCGCGCTCAAAATATACAAGACAAGGAAATTATAGCGCCGCGATGAGCGCCGAGGGGCGCCACCAGACCAGAAATCTAAAGTCAGAT